AATCCGAAATAACATGTTCATTCAAACACACTGCTGCTTTCTTTAGACAGACAGACAGACACACACACAAAATCATAGGCAACTAATCAATTCTCAGCCCAATTAGATTTCCATAAGCAACTGGAACAACAATTTGGCAACCTAGGAGAGAGAAACTAAAAGGGAACGGAGAGTCAGTAATACAGTCAAAGTGAAAAGAGACAGACGGGAATGCAAAGGAAAATAAGCCATGGAACAATCTGACATGCTGACAGCCAAGCACCAAACAATCCAAACTCTAAAAACGCCCACGTAAAGCAAGGGAAAGATGGCTAGTCTCCCTCACAACCAGGAGAACTGCTGCATTGTTACAGGCAGAGCTGGTAACACAGAAGGCTCCTGACACTACCCATGAGACAACCCTGCTTTCAGTTGCTTTTAACTTTGCCAAACTCTGTTTGGGCTGAAATTTTCCTTGCCGGATGTCTGCCTCGGGCTGATTAAAAAGAGAATAAATGTCAGCAATTCATTAATTTTGGGTGCCCAATTTGAGATGCCCAGGACCTGATTGTGCAGCGTACTTAGCATGGTGTGGCACTTTATAGCAGGGTTTTGGAGCGGAGCCCGGAGCAGCTCCGGAGCTGCAGGGTTTTGCCCAGAGCTGGAGCCTGGAGCAGCTCCGGAGCTGCAGGGTTTTGCCCAGAGCTGGAGCGGAGCCGGAGCACAGCTCCAAAGCCCTGCTTTATATGTTCACAGCCCCCTCCGACTTCAGCTGCGGCTGTGAGTGCTCAGCACTTCTGCAAATCAGAGCCCTGGGGCTAAGTCAGGCACCCAGAAAACGAGGAACAAATGGTTAGTGACCACTTGTGAAAAGTCTGGTTTAAGAACAGCCCAGCACTCACAGGAACTCAGGGACAGGGGCAGGGGCAGGGACAGAATCCAGTTCTCCAGGGCAGCATTCGACTGCCTTCACCAGGAGACCATCTTTTCTCATCCTGCAACACTCTGCCTCATTCACTGCCACTTTCCAGTTTTTCCAACAAACTAAGCAGGGGTCCTACAGACAACGGTCACCTCCACTACACAACCCTGATTCATGCCCAGAACAAGTCCATGGAAGAAAGAGGCGGGGTCCTATGGAAGAAATAGTATGTGATCATGTAATTAAAGACTGTACGATAATGTATACACAAGGGGGCTGAATTCAGATTGCACAGACAGACAAATTCTGTCATCTCCTAGCTTCTGAGTGCTTTGCGAGCAGCATATTATTCTTTTAATGAACAAAAGAACAGCCAGACTGGGTCCGGCCAAAGGTCAACCTAGCCCAGTATCCTGTCTACTGTCAGCGGCCAATGCCAGGTGCCCCAGAGGGAATGAACAGAACAGGGAATCATCAAGTGATCCATCCCCTGTCAGCCATTCCCAGCCTCTGGCAAACAGAGGCTAGGGACACCATCCCTGCCCATCCTGGCTAATAGCCATTGATGGACCTGTCCTCCATGAACTTAGCTAGTTCTCTTTTGAACCCTGATATAGTCTTGGCCTTCACAACATCCTCTGGCAAGGAGTTCCCCAGGGTGAGTGTACATTGTGTGAAGAAATACTTCCTTTTGTTTGTTTTAAACCTGCTGCCTATTAGTTTCATTGGGTGACCCCTAGTTCTTGTGTTAGGAGAAGGAGTAAACAACACTTCCTTATTTACTTTCTCCACACCAGTCATGATTTTATAGACCTCAATCATATCCCCCCTTAGTTGTCTCTTTTCCAAGCTGAAAAGTCCCAGTGTTATTAAACTCTCCTCATACGGAAGCTGTTCCATACCCCTCATCATTTTTGTTGCCCTTTTCTGAACCTTTTCCAATTCCAATATATCTTTTTTGAGATGGGGCAACCACATCAGCACGCAGTATTCGAGCTGTGGGCGTACCAGGGATTTATATGGAGGCAACATGTTTTTGTGTGCAATTTCCTATGGTTTTTAAAAAGCTGACTGAAAAAACAAATTCCATAATGCGGAACCACATAACCCCACATGGGTCAGAGCAGGAACACTGTCCTGTTCCATACAGGTTCTTAGCTCACCCTAATCTCTGCAGTAACAGAGCACCTTCCAGCCATATCGCTTGATGTGCAGCTAACATCTGCCACCCATGGATGGTTCTCTCTCATTCTCTCCTGGGGGAAGAGCTGTGTGTGCTGTGGAGTGCTTTGTTTCAGTGGGGTGGGGTGTTAATGTCCATGCTACTCTGTGTTTACATTAGAGGAGGCAAGCTGAAGACATGCCCCCTGATCTGGAAGTGGAAGGTGGTGGGAGGTGGCTGGTCCTTAGTTTCTGGGAGATTTCATTCCATGGTTCTGGGCTGAGGCCCATGAAAACGACATCATCTTATGGTAAAAGGTTCCAGTCTGCCTGAGGAGCGGGGCTGTGAACTACGGTCTTCAATGGGAGCATTAGGCTCTTTCAGACGTGCTAGGCCGGGGCATCCTGAGGTAAGGACCGAGATCTCAGCCTTGACTTTCTCTTCCATGGGAAGCCAGTGCAGAGAGCGGAGGAGAAGTTTGATGTGCTCACAATAGCCCACGTCGCTGAGGAGATGCACTGCAGCACCTGGACATATAGGGTTCTACAGACCACAGAGCTGGAACTTGTTGGCTCACGGAACAGACGTCCAGCACTTGTGCTACATGAATAACTGGTAGTAGTAGTAGGCGGTTATCCTCTAGGTGGAGGAGGAAAGACATTTTGCCAGTGGGATTCCTAGCCACTTGCTAGATAGCAGAGGAGTGTTCAGACTCAGGAATCCGTGATTTAATTCCATGGACTAGATGCGTGTGTTCTGATGGCTATAGAACCTTTTGTCCTTGATTCCCCAACACCGGCTATCCCTGTCTGCCCCCACTGCTCCTAGCCATCCATCCCCCGCCCTCAACTCCGGTCTCTGCCCGCCGCCCTGCTCCTCACCCATCTGCACGTGAGTTAGGCTGCTCAGTCCTCCTCCTCCTCGCTCCCTGTTCTCAGTTCTGGTGACTAGCACAATAGTGACCCCTGGCAGCCCAGAGACTTAGCGCAGGACCAATCCTGCTCAGCCCCTGCATCCCTGGGCTGCATCCAGCTCAGGTGCTCTGCGGGGACGGTCAGGAGCAGTGAGGGGTTGGAGCACGCTCAGTGCAGACAGAATCTTTGGAGACTTTAGCTGCCACTAACAAACCTCTGCTGAGAATGTGCAAATAGAGATTTTCAGAGGCTTATCAATTGGGCAGATGCGGGCAGAGCTTCATGGAGCTGGTGAAAGGCACCACAGCCACCCACAGCCAAATTTCAATTCCTGCTCTAAAGCACAGGGCCGCTTCTCAACAGAACAATGATGGGAACGGTTTTAAATGGGCAAAACAACCTAACGTCGTGTAGGAAATGGCTGAATCCTTAACAAAAATCAATTCAGCCTGAGGCAGACACCCAGCCTGGAAACAGTTCAAGTTCATAACTGGCAAAGCTATAAACAACTGAAACCATGATCGGATAGACAGTGCTCAGCACCCTTGATTACAGGCATCACTATCTGCACCGCGTGTGACAAAGCCGATTCATGTTGCCATCTTTAAGTGATCAAGCTTTACTTCTGTGCTGCTGGGGTTGATGTTGCATTGTATTACACGGAATTTGAAGGCAAAACAAAGGACTAGCACAATTTGACACTTAATAAACACTGACTCATCAACCTTAGCGTCCCAGCCAAATTCTAACATGAGAAATTGCCTAAACCCCCCCTGCATTTCATTTAGATACGTCGTTCTTCCTCTGCGTATGATTAGCCCCTAGCATATTGTGAACAGTACAGCAATATGAACAAACACGAGGAAACCTTAATATATATCCTCTCTTCCTCAGTCAGGAATGAGGTCAGATAGAAACATGTCTCATGATTAGTGCAAAACTTACGAGTCCAGAACTCATGTTTCCAAACAATTAAATTCAAAATCCCGACACTGAGGAAAACTCTTAAGACAGACAATTATAATATCATGCCTCATGTAAAGAGACACTGATATTTCACATGTATTTTAACATTTCTTTCCTTTTCTCTCTTAAGAATAAGATCATCAAGAAAAAAAAAAAAAAAAACTTTGTAGAAACACAAGCAGATTACTAAATACAACATCCCAGCTTGGAAAAGGAAAGGAGAATTATGTTTCTTGAGAAAGCAGCAATTAGAGAGACGCAGAGCCACATTTCTCATTCTCCTAAGGAGTTGTAGGCTGTAACATTTCAGCTCATCCTTTAGTCACATGACCAACATCTCCCCGGAGAGTTCTAAATTCTTTTGACTTGATAGTCAGCTCCAAATCACATGTCCGCGGTCTGAAACCCAAGGCAACTCTATAACAACTTACTTCTCTTTGGAGAAAATATATTTTACACACATGTGCGCTACACATTAACGATTCTTTCAAGAGGGCTTCTTGCAAATCAAAGTAAAGTATTTCCATAGATAAAGTGCAAATCCCCTGAACAGCTCTCCTTTGTACTTATAAATAACTGTTTGAACACCTGCACCTTTGAATAGACATGTACATGTAAAAGAAACATATATAACAGATACTGTCAAAATGGGATGGGGAAATTGCTGACATGTTCTCTGCCAATGAGCATGCAGATGTTGTGCCCAGTGCCTGTAATTGTCCGTTTTTACCTTGCTAAACGTTTCAATGCCTATTTCTAAAAATGATCTGGATGACAGCACTGCAGCTCGTGCAGAACCTTACAACAGCAGGCCAGTGCAGACTCACCCAATAGAGAGCCCACCTGCTGATAGGAAACAGATTTTAGTCTCACAGCACCAAGGGCTGTTCTCTAAGCAGCGAATAAAAGGAGGGCTTAAGGAGGTCTCAAGCTGCCGGCGCAGTGGTTGGCCTTTCCAAGTGTATTTTAGCACTCACCAATGGCTCGCATCCCAAGGACAAACTGGCTGAAGAAAGACATCAGCATAACAAAATGGCTCTCTGCATCCAACACCTACCTCATACTTTCTGTAGTTAACTAGCAAAGCAAGAAGGACAACAGCATCATAACCATGCTCCCTGCGACAAGGTGGGTTGGACAGAATCTGAAATAAGAAGCAGGAATGAATGTTACCCAGTAATTGACTATGAAACATAGCTAGTTTCCCAAAGAAGCAAGGCCAAGCAGAACAATATGTAACATATCAGCATATTATGTGCTAAGTGACGTATGAGTAGGGCTCTACCAAATTCACAGCCGTGAAAAAACGTCACCGATGATGAAATCTGGTCTCCCCTGTGAAATCTGGCTATTGTAGGGGGGTCCCAGTATCGCTACCCTGACTTCGGCACTGCCTTCAGAGCTTGGTGGCTGGAGAGTGGTGGCTGCTGGTCAAGCACCCAGCTCAGAAAGCAGTGCCACCACCAGCATCAGTGCAGAAGTAAGGGTGGCATGGTATTATATTGCCACCCTTACATCTTCACTGCTGCTGGCGGGATGCTGCCTTCAGAGCTGGGTTCCTGGCCAGCAGCCGCCGCTCTCCAGCCACTCAGCTCTGAAGGCAGTGCCGAAGTAAGGGTAGCAATACCGTGACGCCCCTACAATAGCCTTGCAACCCCCTGCCTGACCCTCTTTTGGGTGAAGACCCGCACGGTTACAACACTGTGAAATTGAAGATTTAAATATCGGAAAACATGAAATTGAAGATTTTTTAAATGCTATGACTATGAAATTTACCAAAATGGATTGTGAATTTGGTAAGGATTTAAAACGGTCTGTCTGAGATTTAAAACAGTGAATTGCAATGCTTAAAAGAAACCAAAGAGAGCCAGTTATGTAGCACAGGCTTACAGAGAGCAAATTGTCCCAGCCACAGCATCACCCAGCACTGGATGAGACAGTATCTCAGTGTATTGCCAGTATACACTCAAATACTTCTCCTACAAAGCATTCCAATATCAAAGGGGAGAAAATCACTGGAAATACCCAGGCTGACTGTCATAATAAGTTCCTCTAGTCTAGAAATCCTCCGTGAAATTAGACCCACAGAGCTATTCACCTGCTTTCTAAGCATAAAAGGCACAAGTGTAACAATCTTAAAAGCCCAACAGTGACTGAAACCAACAGACTGGAGTAAGGAGGCGGCAGCGTTATAAAAATCTACCGCCAAGCTAGGAATAAGAGGTTGACATGTAACACCAGCGAGCCTCTGTTGTATTTAAACACCGAACAGTAAATGTACGGATGAAAGTTTGGCACTACGGGAAAAGACCTAACCAGCCGGAGATGAGAAACACTTACCTGTAAAATAGCTTCAAATATACTGTTAATCATCACATATTCCAGGATTGTGTTCTGGCTGATGTTGTCTGTCACCTGGAAGCAATCAAAGGCTTTTTAAAATGATGACTGAAACTCCATAATCTCTAATGTACTATAACTGCCTCCGGTGTGCACGGAAACAGGCACGTTCCCCTACTGAACAGCCGGGTAGGACTAGAGCAGAGCAGAGTGGGAATAGCTGTGCACGCTCACCCTCCTCCCAGCACCCCGACTCCTTTCCTGTGTGCCCCCCAATCCCTGCATCTGCCAGGAGCGTCTCAGACTCTGTGCAACGCAGGAAACTTCCACGCTGCTGTGTGCAACTCTCAGTCCCAGGGACAGACCAACTTCCTTATATACTCATGTGACGGAGCAGGGAGCAGGACAGATTTGACCTGGGAATGTTGCAGGGGGATTGCAGTGGGGATGTGGGACTTCCCTTGAAGAAAGCTACCTGAGCTGTAACCTGAGCCAGGAACGGGGGTGGGGAGAATTAACACCTTCTGCCCGGAAGACTGAACAAAGAAGAGGAGCAGCGGGAGGGGCTGGGAGTTTAGTTTCGGTTGGGGCTGGGTGGTGCAACACAGGGAACCCCAAGCTGGGGTCTAAGCTCCCTGAACCTCCCAGAGGGACCTAATTGAGGGGGTCTGGTCGTACCTACACGCTCTGCTTAAGACTGTGTTCCTGTCCTTAAATAAACCTTCTGCTTTACTGGCTGGTTAAGAGTCGCAGTGAATCTCGGGAAAAGGGGTGCAGGGCCCTAACTCCCCCACACTCCGCGACAACTGGTGGCAGCGGTGGGATCTACTGCACCCCGTGGACGGCGCTTCCTGCAGTAAGTGACTGGGGAGCAGTAAAACAAAGGGGAATTGACGGGGACCAGGCCTGCTGAAGAGTGAGAGAGAGACGGTTATTACCCCTGGGAGTGTGTGACCAGCGAGAAGAACTTTTGCAGTAACAGGGTCCCCCGGGGGGATCGCAGCGAGTGGTCCCAGGGGCGAAGGAGTCTGCAGCTCGACCCTGGCAGAAAGGCGGTGACCTCGAGAAGGGCTGGCACACTAGGGGTCCCCCTGGGAACTGTGGGGAGCTGTGGGCACACAGGCCGGTGAGTGGCCAGCAGGAAGATGTATGCCAAGCGGCTTAAGAGCGACCTGGTGGAGCTGTGCAAGCAGAGGCGGCTGCGCATTGCGCGGACAAACTCCGGGTCCTTACCCCCTTACTGGACCCCAAATCCGTGGCATTGTACCGCCAACTGGAAAAAACAAAGAAAGGGGACTACGAACTATTCAAAAAGGCCCTGCTACGTGAGTTTGGGCTGACTCCTGAGATGTACCGAAAAAGGTTCCGGAGTCAGGATAAAACCCCTGAGATCTCATATCTGCAACTAGCCGTCCGCATGAAAAGATACGCCAGCAAGTGGGCTGGTGGGGCCCAGACAAAGGAGAACCTAATTAAACTGCTGGTACTGGAGCAACTGTATGAGCGGTGCCCATCCGACCTAAGGCTGTGGTTGGTGGACAGAAAGCCAAAGAACCCGCGACACGCCGGGCAGCTGGCTGATGAGTTTGTAAAAAGCCGGTCAGGGGGTGGCAGAAAGAAGCCCCAAAGAAACAGGCCCGCCGCGATGCAAAGAAAAAGTCACCCTGGGACCTCCCAAAGGGGGAATATGGGAAATCCCCTCCCACGGGAAATACCCAGCATCAGGAACAACTGACCGGCTCGAGGGGACCCACGGGACCTGAGCTGCTATTACTGCGGCCGAAGAGGCCACGTTCGGGCCCAGTGCCCCAAGCTCAAAAACAAACTGAGCAAACCGAACCCGCACCGGGTTAACTTGGTAGAGGCCCAGATGGACAAGGGGCAGGCTTCCCACGCAAAAGGGGCTGGCAGCTTATCAACTGCTCAAGAGAGAAAAGGGCCCCCGGCCAGCTTCTCTGGGGGGCCAGATGCTCCGAATTCAAAGTTCTCCGTTTACAGGGTTGGCGCGGGGCTGTCCCTGCGGAGCGAGTGCCTTGTTCCCCTGGAGGTGGATGGAAAGAAAGTTTATGAATACTGGGACACGGGCGCAGAGGTAACACTGGCCCGGCCCGAGGTGGTGGCCCCAGATCGGGTGGTGCCCAACACCTTCCTAACCCTGACCGGGGTGGGCGGGACCCCATTCAAGGTTCCCGTAGCGAGGGTACACCTGAAATGGGGGGCCAAGAAGGGCCCCAAGGACGTGGGAGTGCACCACCATTTGCCCACTGAGGTGCTGATGGGGGGGAACCTAGAGGACTGGCCAAGCAGCCCCCAGACCGCCTTAGTCGTGGCCCGTAGCCAGAGCCGGCGAGGGGCACTACGCCCTGACCTTGGGAAGGATGTCCCACCGGAGGCACCGAACCCTTCCCGGGTGGGGAGGAAACACCCAAGGACAGGCCGCGGGGTGGCTGGAGCTTCCGACCCAGCCGACAAGAGGGAGCAGGTCCCCATCCCTTCCCCAGCTGCCAAGTTCCAGGCCGAGTTGCAAAAGGACCCCTCCCTGCGGAAGCTAAGGGGCCTGGCTAACCTCAGTGTGGTACAGACCATAAGGAGAGGATGCAAGAAGAGGTTCCTGTGGGAGAAGGGGTTCCTGTACCAAGAGTGGGCTCCCCCGGGGGAAGTGAAGTTGTGGGGGATCAGGAGGCAGCTGGTGGTTCCCCAGAAGCTTCGCCACAAGCTACTGTACCTGGCCCATGACATCCCTCTCGCAGGGCACCAGGGAATCCGGCGCACCAGGCAAAGGCTGCTACAAAACTTTTACTGGCCCGGGGTCTTCACCAACGTCCGGCAGTACTGCCGATCCTGTGACCCCTGCCAGAGGGTGGGGAAGGCCCGGGACAAGGGGAAGGCAGCATTAAGACCTTTGCCCATCATAGAGGAGCCTTTCCAGAAGGTGGCCATGAACATAGTGGGACCTCTCAGCAAGACGACCCGGTCTGGGAAAAAATACATCCTGGTGGTGGTAGATTTCGCCACCCGCTACCCCAAGGCAGTGCCCTTATCGTCCATTAAAGCAGACACTGTGGCGGATGCGCTGCTGACCATTTTCAGCCAAGTGGGGTTCCCCAAGGAAGTCTTAACGGACCAAGGGTCCAACTTCATGTCGGCCCTACTCCGGTGCTTGTGGAAGAGATGTGGGGTCCGGCACAACTGGGCCTCAGCATATCACCCCCAATCCAACGGGCTGGTGGAAAGGTTCAATGGAACGCTAAAAATAATGCTAAAAACATTTATAAATCAGCACCCGCAGAACTGGGACAAGTACTTACCTCACCTGCTGTTTGCGTACAGGGAGGTACCCCAGGAGTCTACCGGGTTTTCGCCTTTCAAACTGCTATATGGAAGGCGGGTAAGGGGGCCCCTGAACCTAATGAGAAACGAATGGGAGGGGAAGGCCACTCCTGACGGAGAGTCGGTGGTGGAGTATGTCCTGACCTTCCGGGAACGACTTGCCGAGCTCATGGGCCTGGCCAGGAAAAATCTGGCCAGAGCCCAGAGGAAGCAAAAGGTTTGGTATAACCGCACAGCACGGGCCCGCGCCTTCGCCACTGGGGATCAGGTGATGGTCCTCATCCCCGTGAGGAAAAACAAACTCCAGGCCGCCTGGGAAGGGCCCTTCAAGGTTGTCAAGCAACTAAACAAGGTAAACTATGTGGTGGAGCTGTCAAACCGGGCACACCACCACCGGGTGTACCATGTAAATATGATAAAGCCATATTATAACAGGGAAAATATGGTGTTGGCCGTGTGTGGACAGTGGGAGGGGCAGGAAAATAACCCTTTAGTAGATCTATTCCCTGGGACAAAAGTTGGCTTTCCCCTGGAAGCAATTCCCCTCTCT